TTATTTTTTTATTTTATTATAATTTTTTTTTCAGTTAAAATTTTGAATTCAGTTAAAACTATCTTTAATAGTTTTAGTTAGCAATAACACTGGTCTAAAGCCAATCTAAACAAGTCTAAACTGCAACTAACCCCGTTGTGGCTGTTCCCATGTTTCTGTTAGTTTTTGCCATCATTAAGGAAAACATGACTCTGTTCTATCAGTTATGTCTATCACAAACTTGAGTCACAGTGTTTTTTTTTTACCCATAAATGGTTTATTTGTATTCGTATATTTATATTTCAGCTTGCCTTCACCCTGTTTTTTACATAGTTCAGGCTTTCATGAAAATGCCATGAATTCAGATATTCGATGCAATAAATCTTTTCTTGTTTGTGAAAAACTGCCTTTTACACTACACTGATTCTATACTTTAAGACTTGTATTAAAACTTAAGAAGCAAGTTTGTCCAGTGTTTCTAATTAATATATTTTGTGTGTGTTTGTGTGTTTTAGGTCATGCATTTGGTATACAGAGCCCTGGAGTCCGAACCAGTTCCCATGTCTCTGCCTGCCGCTCTGATTCCACCGTCAAAACGGAAAACAATAGCCACGCCTCCTGTGATGCCCCTCCTACCATCACCAGCACAGCATAAAGAGAGAGGCTCCGCCCACTCTGGATCTAAAACACTGCCAGCAAAACCTACACCACCACAGGTGACTTTCTGACTAGGGTTCGCTTGGCTTTATACCACCAACTTATTGTTAATTTAGATGTTGTGAATGATTCTAATACTTGCTGTAAGCTTATTTTGAAAATGTCCCAGAGCTTCATTAACAAACCGTCTATGTGTTTGCATGTGTGCAGTGGGTGGTATTTCCAGCAGAAAAAGCCAAATATGATGACTTATTCGCCAAGACAGACAGTGACATGGATGGCTTGGTATCTGGTGCTGAGATCCGAGATATATTTCTAAAGACTGGTTTGCCATCTGCCACTTTGGCCCGCATTTGGTGAGATGCCATTGCTTGGATTTACATTTCTGTTATTTGTTTCATTTTCCATCAATTCTCATGCAGAACTAATTAGACCTAATCTTGTAAACACTAAAACTGTATGGATTTATATTGTAATGTTACTTTGGCTTACCTTTTTTTGGTGCATGTTTCTATAGGGAGCTTTGTGATATAGGAGACGTTGGGAAACTGAGCCGAGATCAGTTTGCATTAGCTCTATATCTGATCAATCAGAAGCTGTCAAAGGCAATAGACCCACCTCAGACACTCTCTCCAGAAATGATCCCTCCTTCTGATAGACTGGCACGACAGGTATACTGCGTATTGAAACATAGGTGTTGATTTTGTTGTTGTATTGAGCGTGAAAAAAATGGAAGATGCTAGGATTTTGTTGTTCTTCTTCTTTCTATCCAGTCCTTAAATCGTTTTTTCTAGCTTGCTGCTGTCTTTCTTTTTTTAAGTCTGTTTCTCTTATATACTACAGTGCATTAGTCTCTTATACTCACCAAGGCTGCATTTATTTAATCAAAAAACTGTAAAAACATTACTGTTATGAAATATTATTCCAATTTAAAATGTTTTCTATTTAAAAATATTTTTTACTGTGTATTTTGTTTTCTGTGATGGCTAAGCTGAATTTTCTGCAGCAAGTGTCACATGATCTTTCATAATCATTCTAATGTGCTGTGAAAACAATGTTTCTACCTTCTTTTAATGATATTTCATTCCTTTTTTTCTTCTAACAGAACAATGCTGTCACAGTACAGGCTGCCGATTTCTCCGCAATTAAAGAGTTGGACTCACTCACTAATGAAATCGTGGACCTACAGAAGTGAGTTACTGATAATACTTCAGCAAGTGTCACATGATCTTTCATAATCATTCTAATGTGCTGTGAAAAGAATGTTGAAAACAGTTGTGCTGCTTAGTATATTTTTCTGGAAACCTTGATCCATTTTTATTTCAGGATTTTTTTTTGATGAATAGAAAGCTTAAAAGAACAGCATTTTATTTAAAATAGAAATCTTTTGTAACATTATAAGGGTTTTTACTATCACTTTTAATCAATTTAATGCATCCTTCTTGATGAATACTAGTATCATTTTAAGTTCTTAAAAAAAATCTTCTGACCTTAAACTTTTGAATGGTAGAGTATGTTAGATTAATGTTTTTCATGCATGATTTCTACCTTCTTTTAATGATATTTCATTCCTTTTTTTCTTCTAACAGAACAATGCTGTCACAGTACAGGCTGCCGATTTCTCCGCAATTAAAGAGTTGGACTCACTCACTAATGAAATCGTGGACCTACAGAAGTGAGTTACTGATAATACTTTCCTCACCCCACATATCCACAAGACAGCTGGTGTAAAATTTCAGTCCTGAACTTAATGTATGTCTTGTAGACCCATGGATATTTATACATGAAGGAAGTAATTATGGGTAACCTCTGCACTGTTGTTCTATCTGTCTATAAGTCTTTATTATTCCTAATATATTTAGCATACAGTACTCTCCATTTCTCTCTTCTTTTTTTTTTAAACCATCTGGCCATCTGTTTTAATATAGTGTGTATTTGTAGTTTCCACACAATGCCCCCACACAGGTGCACAGGAGATTATGAAACCACAAAAACAGAAGTGTGCGTCTGACTGTAATCTCAGTGTGTCAGTGTACACAAGTCTGTCCTCGGGTCATGATAGATGCTCTTGAACTGATGAATGGTTTCTTTAATGAGGATCTCATTACTTTATGTTCTTCGCTCTGTCATCATAATGTGCAAGGTCATCTCAAGCTGAATTAGATTGTCTTCACCCACAGACAGTATTCAGAAAAATAAAGCAACTTATTTTAAAGCCATAGTTAACCCAAAAAAGAAAATTGTGTCAAAATTGTATCATCCTCATGTTTTTTAAAACCTATATGAATTCCTTGGAAAACAAAAAGTGAGTTTTTGAAGAATATCCTAGCTGCATTTTTCAATATGATTTCAGTGAATGAGGACTGGGGCTGTCATTTATTTATTAATATTTTTAATTATTAATTTTATTTTAATTTAAAGTTTTTCCTCAAATATTTATATTTTATTTTATTTTATTTTAGCCTTATTTTTATTAATTTAAAAATATAGTTTTTAGTAAAAGTTTTAGTAAAATACACTACTTTTATGTTACATCTATAGCAGCATTTTTTTTTTTTTAATAAATCATGTTTTGTAGTTCTCTGAATTAGCTCACATGGGTTTTGAAGGACATGAGGGTGAGTAAATCATTTTTGGTTGAACTAATCATTCATAATTAAATATTGGTATGACAGATGAGAAAAGTAATGATACTGAATGCAACACATGTGTGGGTGGCGCATACGAGCCCTCAAATCACTTCCTGTAAGCAATAATTCTCCAGAGATGTTAACACTCCTTGTGATGGGAGTCACTACCCCACAGAGGAGAGGTGGAGCTCTCATTTACACAAACACTGAAAGAGGAAGATGCCCCCACCTCTGGCTTTCCCTCCATCTCTGGTTTACAGACTTTTAGCAAAAGCAGATACAGTCACCTGTCAGCTCCCAGCACACTCACTCTCACTGTGAGATAGACGCTCAACAGCACTTCTAGCACTTCTCACTTCCTCCTTCATGGAATAGTGCAAGGTAAAGAGTAAGTGAGAAGTAATGAGTGCCTGAAATGGAGAGAGCAGAAGAGGATGAGCAGAAAGGATAGAAAACAGAAAGATTCTATACGATGGGCTGTTGTTTGTCGCTAAAATGATGCGTGCGGTTCGGGATTGCCTTAAATCTCCACGGCAACGGGCGACCTCAGGTGACAGGTAAGAACAAGCCACGCCCTCTTTATAAAAAAAGAAAAGAAAAGCAATTATAGGCTGTTTGGACGACTCGTGCTCTGTTGTTTTTGGCTGATCTGGGCTGCTCAAGATCCAGTTTCTAGGTGGATATTGGACTGTTGACAAACTCTCATTTTGCCCTGTATTTTTAGTCTTTCTATTTTCTTGTTTTCGCCCTCTCTCTCTCTCTCTTCTGGGAGTCTCTGACTCACAGTGTGTGCGTTTGACTCTCGGTCAAATCCATGTGAGTTCTCTGTTGTTGCCGGGAAGACTAGCATGAACTCACTGTGTCAGAATCTGAGAGGAAATGTTGAGTCGGAGCTTAAAATAGTTCAGCCACATCTAGGAAAGATGCTCTGAATCTTTTTAAGAAAGATTTGTGTTATTCAACTGTTTTATGAAAGATTTTCCTTTCTATTCCTTTTCTAATCTTTCTGTTTTACTCTTGCTATCTCACTAGCCTCATAACCTAAGAGAGATTGCACATAAAGAAGCATTCCAGCATCATCATAAATCTGTTATTTTCTAAAAAATATGAGTTTTCACACTATGATCTGTGACTAAGAAGATAAATAAGCTTTCACAGTACAGCCCTTTAAGATTATGCTTGGTAATGATACGTTTAGAAATAGATTTAACATGCAAATGCGTTTAACAAATGGATGCATGGATGGTGTGGCGTAGTAGTTAAAAACTGAGCTAGTAGCCGAAAGGTGGATGGTTTGAACCTTAAAAGATGAGTACCATGAAAAGTCAACATTGTACTCTTAATCCCAGGTTGATTCTTTATAAAGCTTGTACTGTTGGTGTAAAAGTCTAATAATAAGTGGTGCCGGCATGTACAGTATTACTACTACTTGTACTTTAGCTTGTAGTTTAGATTTTGTTGAGAGGGAGATGTGCTATTTGCAAAATTATCAGATTTTTTTGCATGATGAAAATTTTACATTGACTCTTTTAAGTTGGGCCATTTTTGGGTATTAAGAGTAACGCTAAACAACCATTCAGAACACCCTAGCAACAGCATAGCAACCGTACCCACTGTATATATATATATATATATATATAGAGCGAGAGAGAGCGGGGGGGCATTTATGAATATTTTTTAGAAAAAAAGCTTTTATTCAACAAGAATGCATTTTTTTTAAATAAAGAAATGCTTTTATTCATGCATTAATTTGATGATGTGACAGTAAAGAAATGTATAATGTTACAAAAGATTTATATTTCAAACCAAACACATATCAGCCATTTTCTGGCAGTAGAATATCATGGAAAACCCTGTGTGACGTGTAACAATAACCTAGAATAGCAGTTTTTCAAGTTGTATATATGCATTACATATATACAGTACATATACTTTAGTATATCTATCTATATATATCAACAATCTATAAATGCCCTGTAAACCATTCAGAACATAGCAACGCCCTAGAAACCACCTAACAACCAAACAGAACACCCTATCAACAACCTATAAATGCCCTGTAAACCATTCAGAACATAGCAACGCCCTAGAAACCACCTAACAACCAAACAGAACACCCTATCAACAACCTATAAATGCCCTGTAAACCATTCAGAACATAGCAACAGCATAGCATTTATGAATATTTTTTAGAAAAAAAGCTTTTATTCAACAAGAATGCATTTTTTTTTAATAAAGAAATGCTTTTATTCATGCATTAATTTGATGATGTGACAGTAAAGAAATGTATAATGTTACAAAAGATTTATATTTCAAACCAAAATTTTCCATTCATCAATGAATCCTGAAAAAAATGATGGTTTTCAACAAATCAGCATGTTAGAATAATTTCTGAAGGATCATGTGACACTGAAATTCAGATTTGCCATCACAGGAATAATTTAGAATTTAAAATTATAAATTTTAATCAACTCTAGCTAGACATCAGACATTTAATATATTGGTCTATCACTAGCATCCAGAAAATGTATGTAGTTGTAATATATTTGTTTGCTAATTTAACCTGTATGACCTGAAGGTAAAGATACAGACAGCGGGATGAGTGAAAACACCTCTAATGTATTCCAACCCCACATCCCCCATCTCTCTCTCTTTCTCCGTGCTTCCCTCCTCCCGTTCTTCCTGATGTTCAGAAAACCATCTGCTCATGTGCAGCTCTGACACACTCACTCACGGACAGCCTCTCTTCTCTCACACATACAAGCTCTAGCAGCAGATGCAGAGATGGTGCTGGAAGGAGATGCTGTCCATCCTGTTCCAGGCGGCTGGCTGTCTGTACCCGCCGTCGCCACTGTGATTAAATACTCATGTCTGTGCTGGTCTTTCAGGGAGAAGAGCGTGGTGGAACAGGACATCAAAGAGAGGGAGGAAACTATACGACAGAGGACCAGCGAAGTCCAGGTACGAGTGGTTTTGAAATTGAACATAAATAAATTTGTTGTTTTTATTTGACTGGTGATCCTGACCTGACAGAGACATTCAGATGTATATGCATAGACGGATAGCTTAAAAATCCACAATGTACTGAAATAATTTTTATTTAATTTTATTTTGAATCATTTCTATACTAAAAAATATAAAAATGGCTGCATTAAAATTTATACATTAAAATTTTTTAATCATTTTATATTCGTTTTTTTTAAAGGCAGCTAATATTTCTATATTTTTATTTTATTATTTTATTTTGAATCATTTATATTAGTTTTTTAAAAACAGCTAATATTTCTTATTTTATCTCTTTTATTTCTTTTTTAATCATTTTTATGTTAGTTGTTTAAAGGCAGCTAATATTTCTATTTTTTTATTTTATATTGAATCATTTTTATATTACTTTTTAAAACTATTATTTCTATATTTTTATTTTGAATCTTTTATATATTAGTTGTTTAAATACAGCTGAAAGTAAAAAAAAAAAAAAAAAAGTTTCATACATCATAACGTCTAGAGTTTACTGACCACTTATTGGATCAATAAAGGAGAAAAGAAGCCAGCTGTTTTCCAAAGGCTCCCTCTCTGTCTATTTTATCCTCCCTATCATCTGTCTGTCCACTCTGCTCATGGTGGATTGGTTCTCTCCTCGCTGCCTGTCTACAGAGTTGAAAGAAGTTCAAGGTCTATAATGTATATCTGCACTGGCTTCCTGACTCATAAATTTGGTGTTTTTTCATTTCCATCGAGATCTGAGCTCCCTCCTTCCCTCTCACTCGCTCTCTCCCACTGTGTGATAATTCAATTTCCTGTGTATGTAGCTGAAAATTAGCCATTCTGTTGACTGCAAGATGCTCTAGACTGCTGATTTAGATGCCACGTACAGATTCAGAGGTGTTCAGGTTAGTCTTTTAATATGTGTCATTTATTTTAAAGTGTTATAATGCAACCCTCTACATTGCGAGTAAAGCACTCGCATATGCGACTAAATCTTACTCTGGGCGACTAAATAATGTCTAACATTAGCCATTGGCTAATAAATTCTTAGATTTTACACGCCAGTATGTGTGAGAGAGGCGTTCAACACAGATTTTCACTCGATAAACACGCTGACTGAGCGCTTGAGAGTTTCGCTCTCCGTCAAGCGATCTGTACTATTTGGATGCGCTCAATGGATCATGTCATGTACTCAATGGATGCGCAGTATGTAGCACGCAGCGCACCTGTATTTGACGTACCGTAAACTAGTGTGAAGGCGCACGACACGCTGTCGCTTTACTGATAGCGCGGTGTTTCTCACACATGCAAAGAGAGAATGACCCCTTTAAAAAGTGTATAACTATCTGTATATAAAAACAATAGAAGTCTATGTAATGTCCCCATTTAGATAGCTAAGTAAACGTGTGTGTGTGTGTGTAAAATAGTATATCGAACAAAAAAATGTACTAGCCAATGGCAATTATATTGCGAAGGTGTGCGTAGAGGGTTGTAATGTTAAAATGTATTGACAGATGGATTCCTAATGTGCCAGAAAAACCAATAGTGTTTGTGTGTGTGTGTGTGTGTAAGAATACAGGAATAGACACCTGATTTGTGTGTGTGTGTATATGGATATTAGATGGTGTACTGATAGCACAGCTGGTCCCGCTCTCTAGGGTTCTCTTATCCTGTCATCACACAAGGCCACTTATCCTGCTGATTTGCTGTTTTCTTTTCATTTTTGAATCTGAAAATGTGCCCATGACACTTGTGACCTCTTACCTGTATGAATAACATAATTAAAATGGATCTCTCTCTTGCTGCAGTCTTAATAGGGCAGTTCAGTTGATGTCCGTTAAACCAAAAACACCCATATGACTTATACGTTGTCCTCTCAAAGAAAATAAGTACTTCTTAACGATCTCACCTATGCAAAAGTGCAACATTAAGAGAATTAAAAATCAATATTGTAAGCTATCAGAGGCAAGGACCTCTCACAAATGATGAATGTATTCAATATTTGTTTAAGCTCTTAATAGATTAGCCTTGAAACACTCAGTGCTGGTAGGCAGCTCCAGGCACTGAATAAGAATAAGAATGTGTGCAAAGTTTTAGTTTGAGCCTCTGCTGTGTTTAAACTCTAGGATGATGAATATATTCTATTTCGGGGGCTGTCGGCTCCCAGCGCAGCCTCTGATTGGACATTTGTGTATTAGACGTGTGAAGGTTTCTACACCGTGAGCGGTTATTCAGTTCTGCTGCTGTAGACCTGTTATTTTTAGGACCCACTCCTACAGTAGCATCTCAAGGTGAAAAGGAAATGACATGGTTGTCTTTTGTTATCATTGTAGGTCCTTTTCTTTCATTTCCTTTCTGATCTGACTCTTTTCTTATATTTGACAAATTTACATTTACATTACATTTAGTCATTTAGCAGATGCTTTTATCCAAAGCGACTTACAAATGAGGACAATAGAAGCAATCAAAATCAACAAGAGAGCAATGATATGCAAGTGCTATAACAAGTCTCAGTTAACTTAACGCAGTACACGTAGCAAGGTTTTTTTTATTATTTTTTTTTATTATATAATAAATAAAAAGAAAAAAGATAGAATAGAGCAAGCTAGTGTTAGAGGCCTTTTTTTGCTTTTGTTAATTGTATAATAAATAAAAAGAAAACAAATAGATAGAATACAAAAAGATTAGAGAAGCTATTTTTTTTTTAAAGAATAGAATTAGAATAGAGAGTCAAATAAAGATGGAAGAGAGGTGTTTTTAGCCGATTCTTGAATAAAATCTATTTGCTTTTTTCCTTAGCTCTCAGTATCTATCCTTTGCTTTTGTACAGTCTGATATTCTGTTTTCATTGTAGTTCTGCCTCAGGTTTAACCTGCCAACTATTACTGACCATGTGGTCTGTATTTGCACACAAAAATAGCATGAATCACTGAACATCAGTATCAATTTATTTGACTGGCTCTACCCTTTTTGTATGTTAAAAAATATATATACCCGTACCCATTTGCTAATTTTGTTTTATCAAAGACTTCTCATTTTGTAAAATGTGTAAAATGTTATACTTGCACTACCAATCAAGGGTTCAGGGCCAGTATGATGATGATGATGATGATGATGATGTTAATTATTATTATTATTATTTTATTCTATTTTAGAAATTAATACTTTTTAAAATTGTAATTAGATTTCACAATAGTACTATTTTTACTGTATTTTTGATTAAGCCTTGGTGAACGTAAAAGACTTACTGACCCCAAACCTTTGAAGAGTATTGTATTTGTTTTTTTAAAAGTTGAGTTTAATTAACTCTATTTATTTATTTTTGTTTTTGCTTTGTATTCTGAGATATGTCAGCTATATTATATTATTATTATTTTTGGTTTCACTTTATTTTTTAAGTTGTCCTTGTTACAGTGTAATTATATAATTAAGTATTGAGTAATATTTATTAATAACGTACTTACTGTATGTTTAGGGTTAGGATTTGGTTTAGGTTAGTTGCATGTAATTATGCATAATTTACTGTTATTACTATAATAAGTACATGTAACTTGTAAAAAGGGCACTAAAGTAAAGTGTTGTTTTATATTTTTTCCACATTGCTCTTTTATTGTTGTATAAACTATTTCAAATAATCCCGCCCCTAAAAAGCACAAAATCAGAACTAATTTATTGGTTGCTTAACATGCTCCGACATCTCTTCCTGTTTAAGTGTGTAGTTCTTGGCCAGAATAATCTGCAGTGTGGACCAGACTTTATGGCCCTTTTCCAGATGGCACCCTCAGGCCTCACAGTCCTCCTACATGTCTACATTTTCCCTCATGAGCTGTTGGGTAATATTCAACTATGAAGTCTGCATTAATGTAGGTTTGGCATAAGGCAGCATGGTGGCCGTGAAGACCGATCATAAAATGTCCAACGGGACATTCTGTGGTCTTGTTAATTTCATGGACACATGAAAGTGAAGGCCATGAAACCGCAAGTCCACTTTAAGTGCGCCATTCTGGACAGGGCCATGGTTGATGGTCAGAAGTCTGGCTACGTAAGGCTAACATTGCAATTTTCATTGTTTATGCTTTCTGTTTCCAGCTTCTTTCTTTCCCTTTCAGTTTTTACAAGGTTCAGAATTTAATCTGTTCTATGTACAATGTTCTTTTCACTTCTGCGAGTGAACAGCTGTTGAGAAGTGAAAGCTGCTGTGTATAAGCTAAGGTGTCATTTCTTTGTTTGAGGATGAAATGATGCTATCAGTGAAGCCTTTGTGTTACTTTTGAGCACATAATTGCAGTCTGATTTAATTTCTGTTTACTTTGGCTTTGCTGACCGATGTGCCATTATAACTGGTTTACCCACTATCTCAGTATCTTCTTGCCCCCTAGTGCTTTTTATCTTCTCTTTAAGAGCTGCATGAGCTCTCTGCACTGTTGTCAGTGTTGATGAAGTCTTGTTTATTATTAGACCGATAAAGATGTGTTGAAAGGCCTCTCAACACAGACTCTCTCTCTCTCTCTCTCTCTCTCTCTCTCTCTTTCTCAGGACCTGCAGGAGGAGGTTCAGAAGGGCTCGGAGGAGCTGAGCCACCTGCAGGCAGATCGACAGGAGGTGCAGGAGAAGCTGGAGAGGCTGGACGAGCAGAAACGCTCTCTAGAGGAGCAGCTCAGACTCATACAGCAACAGTGCAGCCAGGAAAGCCAGCTGGTATGAGACGGACACAGCGAGAGAGAGAAATTAAGCCTATGTATATAACAGGCAATATCAGTGTTTGTATTGTGGGTTATATCAACCCAAAAACTATGCACTGATTTCAAAAATCCACTTAAAACATTCCACGACTCTGCAACTTTGCATACTATTTTGAATGAGTCTTGGACGCACTAAGCCTAATATCACATGCTATTTTGCATGATGTTTTCACATGCAAATTTGTATGTGACCAGAGAAAGAAAAGAGTGGAAGAGCAAGGGAGACACAGTCCAGCAGAATTCACACCAATTTCACTTAGTCCATTCCATTTGAATGGCTACAAATGCGTTCTCACTGTCGTTCCTTTAAAAGCAACAAGTATGCTGATCTCAGATCTTTTATTGTCCTTTCTGCACTTTTTCACCTGTCTCTGTGTGTGTATGCGTGTTCAGATCCAGTCATTGCAGGAGGAGCACTCCGAGCAGGAGCAGAGAATTGGTGACTATGAGGAGGAGTTGACCAGAGCCCGAGAAGAACTGCTCCACCTGCAGGAGGAGACGTGTCAACTGGGAGAGAAAGTTCAGTCTGCCCGTGCTCAACTCTGCCCCCTTGAGGATGCTGTTAAAGAATCCCACACACAGATTGCTCAGGTTAGTGAGTTTTTTACCTGTTTCTAAATTATCTTTACTTGTTCATATCTGCATTAACTCTTCCTGAAGTCTTCTTTTTATTGATGGGTAGACACATTTCCCCCCGCTTTTCCCCCTTAGTAAAATAAAGCCATGTTTTACAGTGATTTTACTTGAGTAAATAAATGTTTCCATTTTTTTTTGGCAGCAGCACTGATTAAAGACACCAATGGTCAACATATAATAAAAATGTATTATGATAGCAATACGTAATGAAAATAAAAATAATGATCATTATTATTTATATTACAATTTTAACTGTGCATGTTGTGTGTATATTTTCTATTTTTCAGTGGCTTCAAACATTGCTCATCCAATCAGATTTTAGAACCGGAATTATCTGTTTTATAAATATATGTTCATTTTAATGGCGAATGAGGTGACATATTTTTTTTATTGGAAAAAAAAAATCCTTTCTATTACCATCCATTTCCCAAACTTTTTTCTGCTGATGTTTTTCTGCTTTTTCTCGCTGAATATTTTCTGTTCTTTATTTCCATTCCTGGTCACCAACTGTTTGATTTTTCTTGCTTGAAATATCTCTCTCTTTCACACACTATATGGGATTTATTGAAGGAACAGAAGCGATTGGCCGAGCTTAAAACGGAGGAGAGAGAAGTGACTGCAAGGCTTACTTGGAAAATCCTGGAGGAGCCGGTGCTCGTCAACGGAACAGCGCCCTCCTCTGAGCAGCTGGAGCAACTGCAGTGGCCTCAACCCACAGCACAGCCGCCAGAGAAACCCAAAGAGGACAAAGTCCAGGATGAAGAGGAGCAGTCATCCGTGGATGAGCTGCAGGAGCTCAGAGTCACAGAGGAGCAGCTCGGGTCTGAGGCAGAAGAGCCATCCACCAGCCCAGAGGAGCAAGAGCCTAAAGCTGACTTTTATAGCTCTGACCTTTACAACAGTGGGTTATCCACTGCCAGCTCCACTACTATGGCCTGGCCTCAGGGGATTACGGTCAGAAACCACTTCCTCTTATTGTATATCATTTATAATGTCACTCTTGCATTACATTACAAATAGGTTCTCATGTGTGTCTGACTTTTTATGCCACTCTGTTTTCAGGAAAGCACAACACAAACTAACCCAGAGCCAGAGGTACGGGAGGAGAAGGAAAAGGCTGAGGCAGAAGAGCCTGCCACCAGCACCCCAAAGGTTGAATGAATTTGACAAATCATAATTGTTGACCATTTCCATTAATATTCTAATTGCAATAATTTTTTATGTTAATTGATATTAATTATTATTTATTTTTCCTTGCTGTTATCATTTACATTTATTTTTGGGATAATGTGGTGGTCATATTGTCAGTACTGGTCAGAGCATGTTGTTTTAGATTGTGAGTTTGTGTAGGTATAACTTCATCATAATCATAAATAAATTTATGCTAATGGATTTTGTGAACATCTAGCTGGAAACTGTGGAGCCAGAGAAGAAGGAAGCTGCCCAGCCAGTTACATTGCCACCCACTAACCCACCTAGCGGTCCTGGCCTTGACTTCTTCCATTCGGACCCATTCACTGACGGTAAGATCTGCACACAAAGTAAAATCATCCCCCAAATTTTTTTATTTAGATTAATCGTGCAGCCATAGATTGTCTTTGAAATAAGTGTACTATAAGTTGCTTTGAACTAAAGCATCAGGTAGTTGACTAACTGGTGAACTTATATAAAACTTATTTTTGCAGGTGATCCATTCACTGAAGACCCTTTCTCAAAAGTTGACATTTCAGGTGAGTATTTGCTTGTCTGTCTTGCAATGTGTTTGCAAAATATCCATTCACAGCACAAATCCATTTTGGCTCATAAAATGTTGTTTTGCTCTCCAGATCCTTTTGGTGGGGACCCTTTTAAAGGCACAGACCCGTTTGCTGCAGACAACTTCTTCAAGCAGTCTTCAGTTGGTTTCCCATCAGGAGATCCTTTCGGTTCCTCCGACCCATTCACTGCCACCACAGGCCCAAAAGAGCCTGATCCATTCACATCCAGGACCAGTAATGCTGTCACTCCAGACCCATTTGCTTCCGGTAGTGGGAACGTCCAAGACACTGATCCGTTCGGATCCAAAATGGATGCCCTGGGAGACTCTGATCCCTTCAGCTCGACTGGCACAGGACACGACCCATTTGGAGGATCAGATATTCCTGCAGTGAGTGCTGTAGAGCTAAGCTCTCTTTGAAATCTCATTAAAACGTGTTCTGTTACTTTATATCTTCTGTCAGACTTGATTTATGATAGCATTTGTAAGATTTTGTTTTATTTTTACAAAAGTGACTGCCAGTAAATTCTGCTGAATGCACTTTGAATCACTTTTTATACCTACTTTTCGGTGATACAAACCCTAAAGCAAGCTTTTGAATTGTCCAACATTATTAAGATTGCAGTTTTTCAGTGTTTTGTTACCTTGACTTAAAAGATTTGGCTGAATTTGTTGTTAAACTTTGATTTCCTCCTCCTTTTCCTTTCAGAGAGATGGACCAGCAGCAGCCAATGATCCTTTTGCTCCAGGAGGAACTACAGTGGCCACTAACTCAGACCCAGGTAGAACAAGCATTACTAGCCTGGGTTGACATCAATGTTCCCAATGTTCTCAAATTTTTTTTCTTGTTGAGCAAAACTTTTCTCTATTAGGCGGACATTTCGGCCACTTGAGCAAAAACATTCTTTATACCGGACCTTACAGCGCACACAAAAAGTGTGTAACTTTTAACTTTAATGTGCTATTTGTATTTGATTTGACCCTTGATGTAACTAAATAACACATTATTTTAGGTTACCTGAGAAAACATTTTTTGCAGTGCTTTGCTATTTACCAAGAAATTCTATTAAAACATCATGTAAGAAGTGCACGGCTGTGCATGCACGCAGCTTAGAGGGAACATTGGTTGACAGTATTTATTTCACGATTATAATCATTGTTCATTTTGATGAAGTAAATATCGATTCTTAAATCCTAAGATCTATCCTTCAGTCTGTACCGTTTTCTGTTGATAAATGAACAAAACTTCAGTAAACATTATTTGTAGCTCGTGTGCCATCCAATAATCACAATAAACTTTCTGCTTTGTTACTCCTGACATAAAACAAAGCTTAACTTACAAATTCTCTCAATTTTATCACAACACAATAAATGTAGTTTAGATTCTCCTTAATGTGGCGTTGGCAAATCGCTGTAGCTGCTTCTTCTTTACTGGTAGTTATAGCACAAAATAAATAAATGTGTATATATATATATATATATATATATTTTTTTTTTTTTTTT